AATTTAACCTCTTACTTTTTTTTTTTTTTTTTTTTTTTTTTTAAATCTTTTTTTTTTTTTTTTTTTTTTTTTTTAAAGACAGGTTTTCACCATGTTGGTCAGACTGGTCTCGAACTTCTGACCTCAGATGATCCGCCCACCTCGGCCTCCCAAAGTGCTGGGATTACAGGTGTGAGCCACCGCGTCCAGCCTCCTTTAACTTTTTAACTATTTAAATGTAGTATCTAAAGTTTTGAAGAAAATAAAAAAGAAATAAAAGTTAAATCAACATTAAAATGTTCAGAACCAGCCTCCTACACACAGAAAATAAGAAAAGGTTAAAGTAGATCTCTAGGCTGGCATGGTGGCATCCTGGCCAATATGGTGAAACCCCGTCTCTACTAAAAATACAAAAAAATTAGCCAGGCGTAGTGGCATGCGCCTGTGGTCCCAGCTGCTGGAGAGGCTGAGGTGGAAGAATCTCTTGAACCCAAGAGGCGGAGGTTGCAGTGAGCCGAGATTGCGCCACTGCACTCCAGCCTGGTGACAGAGCAAGACTCCATTTCAAAAAAAAAAAGTAGATAAGTAGATCTCTAGCCCCCTTCATATCTAGACTTTAATGAACTAATAAATTGTTAATGTTTTATAAAGGTGGTCTCAGTAGCAATTCTAGAAATAAGCAGAAAACAGAGTAGTAAAAACAAAACACAGCCGGGCACGGTGGCTCATGCCTGTAATCACAGCACTTTGGGAGGCCGAGGTGAGTGGATCACCTCAGGTCAGGAGTTCGAGACCAGCCTGGCCAACATGGTGAAACCCCATGTTTTTAGTCTTTACTAAAAATACAAAGTTAGCTGGGAGTGGTGGCGGGTGCCTGTAGTCCCAGCTACTCGGGAGGCTGAGACAGGAGAATTGCTTGAACCTGGGAGGCAGAGGTTGCAGTGAGCCAAGATCACACCACTGCACTGACAAAGCGAGACTCCATCTCAAAACAAAAACAAACAAAACACAGAAACTGAGGGCTGATGCTTTTAAGAGCCTTGCCCAAGTTCATGCTGCTAATAATCATAACCCTTGACCCCATGTTTAATCTGTTCTACCTTACACTTGAATATGGGCATTTGCTGGTTGTTATTAGTTATGTGGGAAGACAAACATTAATTTAATGAAACAGAATTTACAGTGGAAAAAATCTGACAGGGGACTTACATACTCATTCTAAATCACCAATCATGTGCCTTTCAGCAAATCAATTTTCTGAAGTCTCAGATTCCTTGTCTATAAAATGAGAAACTTAATTATGATATCTTGAGTAACTGCCACTCTGCGATGCTATGGGAAGTACACACGCTGAACAAGTTGGATATTTATATGAAATGCCATTTGTTTATATTGAACAAGTTGGATATATATACCAAATACATTTAATGGCATAAATGTGAATGACAAAGAAACTCAGGAAGGCAGGACATAGAGGAAGGCCACTGGCTTTTCAGAAACCACTCAGTCTGTGAGCTCGCTTCCCTTTTATAAAAAAAAAAAAAAAAAAAACCTTTGGCTTTTAAGGTGTCCAGATTAAAGTCACACTCCCAGAGCTGAGCCTATGCGAGTCTGACCTGTCACCTCAGTAATGGAAATGTGGCTGGAACTCAACTCTCTCTGATAATTCATGCCCAAATCCTCTTGGGGTAGGAGAGAGGGGACACCTCATCTGCATGAGATGAAATAGGATACCAAGATCCCCTTAATTCCACTCAGAGTAGTGGAAAGGAAGTGTTGCCGAGAGAAACATGTTTTTTCTAAGTTGAAGAGTTGGAATGTTTGAAGGTTAAAGTCAGAATATTAGGACAGAGAGCCATACATATATTATCTAATACAAGTTGCTCAGTTTATAAATTACATAAATGAGGACACTGAGACCCAGCAAGGTTATAGAATACAACCTAATCTAAGTTAGAAGAAGGATGAGGGCCAGGTGCGGTGGCTCACGCCTGTAATCCCAGCATTTTGGGAGGCCGAGGTGGGTGGATCACTGAGGTTGGGAGTTCAAGACCAGCCTGACCAACATGGAGAAACCCCATCTCTACTAAAAATACAAAATTAGCTGGACGTGGTGGTGCATGCCTGTAATCCCAGCTACTTAGGAGGCTGAGGCAGGAGAATCACTTGAACCCGGGAGGCAGAGGTTGCGATGAGCCAAGATTGCGCCATTGTAGTCCAGCCTGGGCAACAAGAGTGAAACTCCGTCTCAAAAACAAAAAACCTTATCTCCAAATACAGTACAGTCACTTTGGGGGTTAGGATTTCAACATAGGAATTTGGA